TTCGGCTGGGGTTGCGATCAATAATTTCTTGGAAGATTGGGACGTTACCATCGAGTCGTGATGCATGCGCTGCACTCTTTGAACTAAATTGGACATTTCCATACGGATCAGAAATCACTGAGGACAAATCAGGCAAGAGGAACGGGAGAGAACCCGGCAACCAAACAAACCCATGATGATTGACAAGCTCACCCATGGAACGCACGTTGGGACAATCCGCCGTGATGTACGATGATGACTCACCGAACTTGGGCCCAGCCGTGTGGATAACCTCGTTTGCGGTAAACATCCCATTGGCGGTTGCAAGCCTGATCGGATCGGCCTTGGTGGCTGCGATGCCAACACCTGGCCCAACACCTTGCTGCGCTAAAGTTTGAAAGGAAGTCAAGTTGTGGCCTGCTCCGGAATCAGCAATCCACTCGACCTATAGACCTGACCGGGAACGGGAACCTGGCAATGCAACCTTAACAGAAGGAATGACTGCAGGCGTAGCAATGGTGGACCAACTCATAAACCAACTAAGGATTCTACCAAAGAAGGAACCGCCAAGCCCAAACGATGTTGCAGGCTGGCGGCTATGGCAAGAGGAGTCACGGCAGCGACAGAGGCAGCAACAGTAGCTTTGGCAGTGGCGCCTGAGTTACCGTGGTTGGGTTTGCCAGGACCGATGTGCGCAAAGGGGCAGTTGGGCCCGCGATTGCACGCACCCTTTGGGTAGAAGAGGCACGGAGCTTTTTTTTGGCAGCCGGTGGATGTTTTGAAACCTCAGGCTGAGCGTGCTTGGGAGGAGGTGGCGGGTTGTTTGGGGCACCTTTGATACCACCGGCGTCCACTTTCCCTTTTCCTCCTTTCTTGCCTTTCCCTGGGCCTTTGCCTGAAGAATCACCTTTTCTAGCGCCTGAAGTCTTGGCCTTTGGCTTTCCGGGCGCAGCGCGTTGGGTATCACCAAGTTGGGGATTGGCCACCGCGCCACTCTGGGCACGATTTCTCCTTTCCTTTTCCTTCTGTTCCGACTCACAGGTGCCGCTGTCTGCTCGTGGTGCTGGCCCTCACCGCCACTGTCACTATTGCAGAGAATGCCGCAGCTGTGGCGCCTGGCTGAGCTAGAATTTGCGCGCCTGTCTGCTATGTGTGCGCTGACTGCTGGCGTGTGTTGTGCTCTGTTCTCAGCCTCGTTCTGGACGCCAAGATGTCCGTCAGCTCCCTCCTACACTGGCTGACGGCGACGCGGGCCCGCCTGGCTCGTCTGTCTTTCTGGTTTTGTGGAGCCGACGCTGCGTTGCAGCTTGCCACTCTGCGCTCGAGTGATTGGGGAGGTGCATTTTCTGGTCACCTAGCAGTTCAATGGGTGTCAATGGGTGCTTCACGTGCTTGGCTGGCTTCGCGCAAGTCCTCGTGAACATTGCAGTCCCTAAGGGCCTCCAAAAGTGCGGCCGAAAGCTCAGTGGCCTGGCCTAGGCTGGAGCATGCTGAGGAGGCAAACTGAAGGCGCACTGCAGGCACGGCTGAGGCTTCGACCGGCGTCTGGTCACCTGAATGCAGGGGGGACAGGCGATGACATTGCTGTAGATGTGCAGGGTAGGCGGGCTGTCCAGATTTTACTCAAGCACAACGGGCTCTGCGTTTGCACCTGAGGTTGTGATCGAAGGACTTGACCCATAGGGCTGCCATGCGCAACTTTGCCCGCAGGCTGCATTGGGGGAGGAGTCGTCTTTGCGTGCCAAGTGCATTTTGCCCCATGGCCCATTCTACACAAACCAGACGTCTGCGTCTGGGGGCTCCGAGGTTACTACGGACTCATCTTGCTCTTGTGCTGAATCCATGTCCGAGTCGTCGGACTGCTCTTGCCTGTGTTTGCGGGCTAGGGCTGCTGCCTCGATCAGCTCGGCCTCCTCGTCTCGGGCTGGGGTCTGAGTATGCAAGGGCAGGACTGGAGGCTGCGCAGGCTCTATTGAGCTCGTGCTTTCTTCGAGGTTCTCTGGTGCCACCTGCTTGTCCAGAAGATTCTGGTCCCTAAGCTGCTGCAGTTCCCTGCGATAAGTGAATCTCTCAAGGTCCCAGCGAACCTTCAAAATGTCCATTCTGAGCGGGGGCTGTGAACGCGGGACCTGAAAAGAGGCTTCGCTAGTGGGTGCTTGGCCTCCTCGGCTGATCGGCCTGACGGCCTCCAGCCTTCGGAGCACGCCAGGGCTATCTGCTGCTGCAGCCACAGGGCATCGATAGTGTCGTCTCTGCCGTACAGGTCCACGCTTTGCTGTGATGTCCCTGCCTGCGGCGGGCTTCGTCTGACTGGACCACTATCACGGAGCTGATGCCTGAGGCGGGATCATAGTCATAGTTGGGCGATGCCTTGCGCGAAGTTGCCTTCGCTTCGACAGGACGAGCCATCACGCCTGCAACCTCGCCCGCGCTCCGCCTGCGCTTCTGCCTCGTGTCACACCTCTGCCCAAACTGTTCTGGCTACAAGTCATCCCAGCCCAAGGCCACGCCGCTGAAGCCTAATCTGATATCTGGCGAGCAGCTGTAGAGGCGTACGATCCTTCCTGGCATTAAAGAGATGTGTGGGAAATCCGTCTGCTTGCGCTTTGTTTTTGGGTTGGTGTAGAAGAACTGTCGCTTGTTGCGCGCCTGATGGTTTTGGCATTCCCTTCTCAAAAGTCCAGAAGCACACAACTGCGAAATATAACGCCGCCGTGCATTGACAGGAGGCCACTCTGCCTGCGCCCACTTCTCCAAGTGTGGAGGCAGCTCTTGAGCCCTCGGCTCCCTGCTCTCACCCCTGTCTTCTGCGCCAAAGCCGCCTGCCACAGGCTCCCACTCATCCCTGAACCTCAGGCTCTCTGCCTGCCCGATCAATGCTGCCATAAGATCCCTGCACAAGGGCCGTATCCTGTCTCTGGTGGCGCAGGGCAGGAAGTTTTGAGAATCCTACATCAGGTCCAGCCAGGCCGGTTTGGTCTGGCTCCACTAAAGCTATCGTTGCCGTCCCCATTTTTCCGTGTAGAAGTGGGGTTGACTGCCTAGCGCTGCGTCCTGGCTCGTAGTGCTTGTGAAGCCGCCCAGCTTCCACCGAGCAGGGGACCGCGTTAGAGTCTATGAGGAACACCCCTCCCCATCCGAAAATGGGCCCAGAAAAGAATGCAGGTCCGCTGTGCCTCGCATCCGGTCTGCCAAGGACGTCTCCAAGGCCCATCGTCGCATCCTGATCCGTTTGTCTGATCCGGCCACCGCATCATCCACGTGGGCCACTACATCGATGCTCTGTTTGCCTACCGCAAACACCAGCCCTGTTCTCGCGACCCTGCTGGTGTTGCGGCTCTGCACCTTGCGCGTGCCCGTGAGTTGGCACAAGGCCTTCCTGTCTGCCACTCCTGTATGGTTTGGCTGGGTCATCTGCCTGACTCCTGCGCAGCTGACATGGAGGATGGAAAAAAACCTGCCTGATTTCCCTCCTGAAATCTCTCCGAGGTCTTACACCTGTCCCCGTGTTACGCTGGAGAAGCTTACAAAGGAGCTCAACTGGCTTGGTCAGGGCCTTTCGCCCGAGTGACTCTGCTGTACGTGCCCGTCCACTTTGCTCTGACCCCGGAACAGTGGCACTTGTGCCGTGGGTCTGTAAATGATGATCTCATAGTCTTTTCTGACTTGGGTATCCCGTCCCGCCTGTTGGTTCGCAGCTGTTGGCAATTGCTAACTCTTCTGACCGCCCAAAAGCTGACCTGCCGGCCAAACCAATAGTTTTCACAGACTGCTGTCCCTCAGTGCTTCATCGCTTGCTGCAAGCTTTTGGCTCAGATTGCACGTGTTTGGGTGGTTCACTCTTTGCTTCCGTCCAATCACCCGCCTGTGCATGTGCATCTGTTGTGTGACAACGCTGTTGCCGAATCTGCCTCCTGGAAGGGCCTGTCTACAGCTAAGGGCCTCTGCCACCCCATGCGCTGTTTTTTGCACTTTCGGGAGGACTGCCGGGTAGCTGTTTATATCAACCACATCCCGGGCATTTTGAACGACTTGGCGGCTGACAAGTTGAGGCGTTCCTCTGACGCTCAGCAGTTGGGCTTTCAACCTGACCAGGCCCGCTCTCTGCCCTGGTCCTCCCCTGCTTCCCTGCCTGTCATCCAGGTGTTGGGTGCATTGTCCTGAGTCGCGTTTTGGCTGCGCCTGTTCCCTGCGGGTCGATCCACCGCACGGCTGCGTTGGCTTTTGGCCGCTGATGCAGCTTGCTCCTGCCTGTAGTTTTCTCTGCAGGACCTGCTGGATCCTGCCTGGTTCCGACTCATCAGAGACTTACCTGTCTCTGACACATTCTGCGTGGACACGGCCATCAGGTGAAAAATACACTAACGTAGCTGACTAGTCAGTCTGCCAAACCTGCAATGTCGTAAACCTTCAATTTCCTTTGTTTCAAGTCACTTCTTTTCGCCAAGGTTCGTATTTTTTGGGTTCTTCAGGTTTGTGCAAGGTTTGGTTATAAGTTATAAAACACTGATTGGGGACTCCCCTCTGTTTGCCTGTTTAGTCCAACCATGTATAAGACCCTAATTTGGAGGTGATTGGGTGATGATTCGCATTGCCGGCAGTGATCTCTTTACACTCTTTGCGCTGTGTGATGGGGGGATTCCTCGCTGCTACTTTACTTTGTTTAGCCACCATCGTTATATACGCGGCTCTGCTACCGCATGCTTGGTGGCTGCGGGTCTACATCGCAAAACCTACTTTTCCAGAGCCTGTGCGTAAACTTTTTTGGAACACAGAATTGTTGCTGTGATGCCGCAGACCTTACTGATGCGTCATCTTTCAAGTAAAGGTGAATTGGCAAGCGTGCAACGTAGCTCTGATTGCTCAGTTTGGATTACGCACTGGGTTCGTCTGCGCGTTGGAATGCAGCTTTTGCTGTTCATATGGCTGCTGCTGATGGTGCTGTTGACGGGCAGCATTGCTACGGCAAGGTGTAACTTTGGCAATTGTTGTGTGGGCATTTCAATCAGCTGCATATTCAGGTGTATTCCGATTTCCGCAAGGCCAAGTACGCCACTTGTGCAATCAGTTGTAATTCAGTTGAGTTTGAAATTGCACATGCGTTTTTTCTAGATGAGGGTGTGTGGCAGGCGTATGCGTACATGGGCATGGATTGGTACACGGCCATACCCTTACAAGTGGCAGATCGTAATTTCGCAAATAGTTTGCAGTTTTTAATGCTTTCAAATAAAACGCGCCTCAGGTACAGAAGAAAAACCAGAAAGTGTCATGGCTCTTCATTTTAGAAGAGCTGTACTACTGGCACACCGGCTGCACTTTGGTTATGAGGTAGATGCTTCATGGCAAGCCGGCGTTCTGCACAGGATATGCAGGGGTGCTGGAATTCATGTGGCTTGTATCTGCTGGGACATGACCCCCTGAAGAAATACTAGCGCATTTGAAAACAACTTGGCAGGTGTTATGCGGCATATATTGTCCGCTCCCCAGCATGAAGCCGGAGCTGCAAAGGTGTGCTTGCAAACAGGCAGTGAACAATAATGCATAGGAATCTTTTACAACTTCATCCAACTAGTTTGGGTTTCGCATGAATAGGTCCTTCATCCATAGTATTCGTCATGTGCAACAGTGCAGGTCCTGGTCATCCTAGTTGGGGCTGTGCTCTTTTGGTATGAGCCCGGAGGCGGGGTGCATCCCTTTGGAGTGCCGCCATAGTGGCTTGTGATCCAGTTTGATTGTTTATATTGTTAAGGCCAAGGTCACCCATTTGCCGTGCTACGGAATATGGCTTAGTAAAGCTTGTCCCTCTGCGACAGGCAAATTTTCTTTCGCGCAAGCGCTGTACACCTCAGCAAGCTGCGTGTCTCAAAGTGGGCTAGCAGTGGTGGTCCCTGCCTCAATACCGAGCACATGGATCATGTACCAGCCTCATGCCTCGCTCTGAGGAGGTCGTCAACTCAAAACATTCGAAGCACAAATGAAAGTTGTCATCTCACTGTTGCCAACGAGAGGGCATGTACGTATCGCGCGAGGCTTTCCCCTTTGAACCCTGCAAGAAAAGTGGTAATCCGGGCTCTTGATGAATAAGGGTTCCCTGCCCCCCACCCCCCACTGCTACCTCCTCCCGTCCACTCTACCCTCCTCTCCTAGCCCCCCTTCCCCAGACAAGTAAATCATGTTAAGTACAAGTTGTATGGTCAAGTAGTAGTAAGAGCTTGAAAAAAGCGAAGAGGATTTCAGACCTTACACGTGAAACTCATGTTTTGTAGGGTGTGGATTCTTCCCGACATTTTGTTGCGGGTTTCTAATTTTTACTTGCAATCGCCCGCCGACCGCCCGCCCGACCGCCGTCCCGTGCCGCCGCGAACATCTCGGGTCCCGGCCTCTTCCTTGAAATTCCTCTGCTAGAGCCTCCGGCGGTTTCGGCCTCTCGGATCCCGCCTTCTCCTGCCTTTAAACTTCTCTTCTAGACCCTCCCGCCAGCATCTCCGGTCGCCTCTCCTCAATTCCTTTAAGCTCCCTCTAACCCTCGCGCAAACATCGCGGTTCACGCTGTCTCCTTCTTGAAATTCCTCTTCTAGACCCTGCGAACATCTCAGTTCCCTCCAGCGAACATCTGGGTTCCCGCTCTCTCTCCTTCCTTCAAATTCCTCTTCTAGACCCTCCCACGAACATCCAGGTTCCCGCACCGCGATTCTTGTTTTCGCACAACTCACCCATTCTTGTCGTCACCGATTTGCCGTCCTTTCTTATTGTTTCTTCTTAAATGCCTTCTGGTTCAATTTTATATTATCTCTATGATTTCGGTTAAGTTGCACATGTGGGGTTATTTGGTTCTTTATTTTCTTTAACTCCTGCTTTTTTTGGACCGAAAAACTCTGCTGCTCTAAATCTGGCCTTTGTTTTGCTCGGAAGCTAGAGGGTTTCATGAACCAAGAGCACAGATTAGGCCGACGCCATGCAAAGACTTAGATTGAATCTGCTTGGAGTAGGCGAGTTTTGAGTGTGTCGTATTACCTTAGGTGAGTGCCCTGGCTGTAGGCCCTTTCGGACAAGCCCCCAGCGTTAGATGTGCTACGAGAGCGCAAGCTCAATCTTGAGTTTACAGGATCGTAGATCTGGAGTGTCTGTGGGCCGTGCGACGGACTGTTGCGAGACATTCCCAGGGAGTCTGTGGAAGCTAAACTGCAGCTAAACTGGATGAAACTTGGCAAACACATCTTGAGGATTGGTCCGTGCAGTCGACCCGAACCTACATCATCAGGTCCGCCCGAATGTTTCTCAAAAGCTGGGTCACGAGCATCAGATGCGTCGACGGCTTCCAGCATAGAGCAGAGGTACTTGGTCTATTTACTCAATTAACCTGATGTCCTTGCAAGCTGGCAGCCTGCATGCCAGCTTCTTCCTGATCCTGTTGGGCTCAGCGTCGCTCCTTCACTTGATGCCGGTGATCCTCAGGCAGATTGACTTTCATTTTTCACACAGACGACAAGTTAATGGCCAAAGTTTGCACATAAGCTGCGCCTGATCAAGAGAGCCGCGCATGGCTTGTAGTGGAAGCGCATCAGAAATCGCGCATGTTCTGTTTGACTGGCATCACCTGGCTTGAGCAGCTTGATTTACAGGCCCCACTCCTGCCGTGGCAAGACGCCTTTAAAATAGGCTTGGCCTCAAAGTTTGTAGACATACAAAGATGCGCAGTGGACATAAGCCCCAACTATACATCAGTAAGCAGCACTTAGCAGTCCGGACAGCTTGTCAGTGCAAGTACTTTTCCAAAATAGTTGTGCCTGGCACTTGCCAACATGGCCGTTGATCGCCAGCAGCTGGAGCCATCCGAGGCATTGTGGCATGTAAGCTGCATACCAAGATCAGCTTGTGCTTCTCTCATTGACACAACCAGTGAAACAGAAGGTCGTGCCAGCAAAGAAAAGGGATGCCTTGAAAAGCCGCACGTCTCGCACAGCCGCTTGTCCTGGAAAAAGCGTGCAGTATCATGATGGCATGCAGATTGCAGGGCTTTGTTCCATAAGGCAGTGGGCTCAGTCGGCTCAATGGGCGGCGTTCTGCGGCTATTCGCTGGGCTCCAAGTAATTCCAGATGCTGATGGCACAGCACTTACTGGGATGACTGGTAGGGCTGCCTGAAGCAACCAAAACTCAAGCTGTTCAATCGTTGCCGACCCTCAGACATGCCTATTGCTGGATTGACATGCTTCCCTCTTAAACGTGTGAGGCGGTTGTGACCGTGTGGTGCGGAGCTTTGGGTTTGTCTTCCTTGGCTTGTTTTGCACATGATGTCTTCCTACCTAGGTTTGCCTCCAGCATCATCTTCAACATGACGGCATCCATGCTGTTGAGTCATCTTCCAGATGCAGAGGAGTCAAGCACAAGAAAGCACAAGAAGAGTCACGCATCTGCCAACAAATTCAGATTTTCTGTGATGTTTGTCCGCAAGTGAACAAGATGTTGTTCGAGCAGTAAGCTCCACATGCTTCCTTGACAGGATATGACGATGCTTGAGCTCATGGTCACGGTTCTAATAGGCGCACCTCAGTAGTTGTGTGATTACCTTGCTTCTTGTCCTTGTCGGTAGTATATTGCCGTGAGAGATGTCAAGGCGTCCTGACGCTCCCGCCTCGTGGGCTGCGATTGTTTGCAGGAGGTTGGAGAGTGTTGAACATGAATTCTCCGATTCGTGTTCATCAAGCTGCAGCACAAGTGCAGATGATGAGAGTGAGCTGATTGTGCTCCGCTGCAGTTCCGAAACAGGATTCGATGCTCTTCCTGGGTCTTTTGCCATGGGTTGCCTTCACCTTTGCAACTGCAGGCCTTTCGGAGTAAGCAAATCACCGTGCCGAGCTCTTTATCAAGCTCCAAGTTCGACTGAACAGGAGCTTTGTATACAGCTTGCAGTTCATCCCAACGTCATTGGCGCAAACCATCCGGGCGACAAATCCGGCCTGCTGCTTGTTATTTTCACATCGCAAACTTGCAAACTAAAACGGGCCACATTCTGACTAAGGTGTGGGTTGTGGCTATCACTGGAATGCTGGGACAAAGCTATGGTCTTCCCGCGCTGAGCAGTCTAGTTCCACTGGTTGGAGGCAACGCGAGTGTGCATCTTATCCTACAATACACTAGATGACAGAAAATTTGATCCGAAGGTTTTGCTCTGGCAGTGGGCGCAGAGCCGAATGGGCTGAGCACACCGCAGGCCGAAACAAAGTGGAGCGGAATTGGCTGGTGTGAAGTAGTGAGCAGTGATGCACCAAGCCCGCCATATCCGCGATCCACTGGTAGCTAGTATTGACATATTCTTTCAGGGCGTCCTGGCTGCGCTCATCTCTGCCAATGCCCAGGCCCCCAGACATCTCCAGACTCCAGTCCTATGGCTCACTTGCCAGTTTCTCAAACGTACAGTGATGTACAGGTGGCAGTGAATTTGTTTGGCAAACGCCGCCTGGCCGAGGCTGCTGCCTCAGATTTAGACTCTGTGAATTGATTTGGTTGTGGAGGTGTGGAGGGCAAAAGTGGGGTTTTGCAGTTACTGCAGTTGCATCTTAGCAAGGCCAACCAACTGACAGATTCAGATGGCGAGTGGCAGCTATAAAGCCACTGTTTTTTGCATGAATCCTGGAGTGCGTGGCTTGGTTTCCCGTATGATCAAATCAAGTTGCGACTTTCTCATTAAACAGTTGGATCTGAGTCTTCTTGTTCAATCTTGCGCATTTGGTTTGATTCATTGCAGCTGTGCTTGTGTGAGTGTTTTTCTCCGTATATGTTCAAATGTTTCGGTAACCCACCTGCTGCGTCAAATGATCCGAAGTTACCAAAGCTGTCACCGGTCATATGCCAGCATGCATGGAGGCTCAACACTCAGACGACAAAGCGAAGCCGCCCCATGCGTCAACAACTCATTTGGGAGACCTGGCAATTTTCGCAGAATTGCATGTGGCCTCCGCTGCTTCATGCACAGGTGCGAAGGTTCTGTCCCTTGTTTGTGTTGTCGTGTCTCTGTGCCATGAGGTTTGAGCTTCAGTTTGCCTCTTGCTTGTTCGCCCTCTGCGCTCTTTTGCCTTTCTGGCCGCGGCCTCCGGAATTGCAATTTTTCTCCGGCATTTTGCGCCCTGTGCTAAAAGGCTGGCCAGCGGTGGACCCCAGCGACTGACAGGCATTGAGCTAAGGTTAGTCTAGTGTTATTGCACTGGGTGTTGATGATAAAAGCATCTTCGAAGAGGCCACTTCGGTGCTGTAAGCGAAGGGCGGGTGGCCCCAGCACTAAAGTGCAGAAAGTGCGAAAAGAGGTGAACCATGCCAGGAGTCTCTTGACACATCCTGAGGATGCAAAGGCACATCTTCTTCTTGGCCGCAACTGTACCTCAGCATGACTTCTGTACATGGCGGCACGCTTGTATGAGCTTGTAAAGGCTGTGCCCCAGCCGCCTTGGCCAGGACAAACTGCAGGGGAGGTGTGGCGGGTGAAGGGCCGCAGTGCATCGTGCAAGGGGGTGGTGTGTGCCTGCACGGGGCATGTGCCTGAAGCTGAGTGCATGCATTCGGCATACATGTAACTGCTGCATTCTGACGCAGGACAAGGGTTGACAGCTGCACGTTGCAACTTGCCCGATTCACCTGAGGACGGCTTGCTCTACTTCATAGAGCAGAGTGCATGGTTTGCCGCTTTGCAAAGTTTTCGCCCTCTCAGCTTCGCTGTGATCGATACAATAAGGCAGCAAGCATGGCAGCACCTTGTCCCCGCTCATGGACGACAGTTGACTTTCTGCGGCAGGCGCTTGTGCATCGTGATTGTGGCGGGCTTTTGGATGCAGGGCACAGCTTCTCTCTCAGATGGGTGCAAAGGCTCAGATTTGCATGAAACTCAGACATGGTCTAAAATGGTTCCGTTGCGTGGACGTGTGTTGATCAGAGGCCTTGACTGCTTCGCGCGTCCTGGGCGTCCTGCTGGTGTTGACGGGTGGCCTGTGGTTTGCATACGCCAGAGAACAGGAGGTTCAGAAGCGAAATTGTGGTTGTAGGCAGGCCTGATTCTTGCATGGCTTGCACGATGAGGCGAAGCTTCACACCAAGAAAGACTGAAACGGGCAATGACTGATTTAGATAGCTCCTAAAACGGGAGAAGGGTTTCCACATTCACTGCGCTGTGGAATGTTGCAAGTCCGGCACGCAGGCAGCCTTTTGTTGTGCGTTAGATGAACATGTTTTTTCTCAAGCCACAAGTGCCGAGCAGGTTGTCCCACCAGGTCGGCCGCAGTAAGAATTAGCAGAAGTCCCCCAGGCTGCTTGCCAATCCTTCGAAATGCCTGAGCTCCTGTTGTGAGTGTTACTGATGTTACTGGTTCAGGAAACATGGTCCCCGATGATGATAATGATTGCAGATGACGTGTTTGACGTAGGCAGCAGAGTAGCATGCGGCCTCCAATACGCTACTTACTGGACGCTTGAGCCTCCCCAGCACCTACGGGCAGTGAACACATTTTTGCATGTTAGGCCCTGGAAAATGTCTGCAGGAGGCCCGCTAAACTCTAGAAACAAGAGATGGCGACACTCTTTTAGACGTCAAGCTTCCAGTATGCATTGCCGCTGCAAAGCCGGCCGTGCAAATGCTTCCTTAAGTAAAAGAGATCTTTGAGATGTTGCACGTGAGTGGAGGGATAGATGGAGGGACTGTTCAAGGGGCAGGACCACTGCTGTATGGCAGGCAGAACTCCTTCCGAATGCAAGCTAAAATGGCTTCATGGCAGAAGTTTGAGGAGGCTGACCTGTCAGGGTGCTTGCAATTCTAGGAAGTTTCCGAGTCGCAACTCACATCCGTTGTGGCCATGGCACATTGAAATTTGTTTCTGCCGCTCCTGCTATCAGGCGCATGACCTGCAAAGCAGGACTCTTTCGAGCGCTGAAGAGTCCATCTCGAGTTTCACTTTGTGCCACGTTCCAGGTCGTGAAGGGTTGTCAGATTCTTTTGTCGGAATCTTGTGTAGGCCTTTAACCGCTGTTGGGTCTTGGCTACGGCTAGCTTGTCCTTTTTGGGTTTGTTGACACGTGATATTTCTTAGATGGCGTTGTGCTTGGCCATTTCTTGCTTGCTGTAGGATTCTCTCATCTGGAAGGAGAATGAATTTGCCTGAACCTCAGAGCTTCGTCCCGCGACGCAATTGCCCTTGCTGGCGTACCGCTGCCTGAATCTCAGGCCGCGTTCCCTTTCCGATCCAAGTGTTCCAGCCCAAAGCTCAGAGGTTCACTGCATTATGCGAAAGAGGAAGAAGAGTTGAGTCTCTCAGAGGGGTCAAGCCCAAAAATTGATCTCCTCCTAAACCCCTCAGTCTCCCAGAAAGTATCCAGCTAAACTTGGGGAAAGATCCGTCTAGATATAATCAGCCCCCTGTGAGCATGTCGAGTTAGGATAATCATGGTTGGATGTAGTCAGGAGGTTTTAGCCTTTCTTTCAGTATAATCATTCTAGACCATGACTCCTGATTTTTATATGCTGAGGAGACTTATGTCCATCAAATCAACCATGACGGCCATGCTCAAGGAGCAGTTCGCTGGGTCGGAGCCCAAAAGACAGAGGCCAACGGTTACTGCTTGATTATGGAAGCCAGCATAGGCGTCACTGCGTCGTGAAGCTGACAACATTTGCATATTGTTCATCTTCGCCCGGCATCAAATAAATGTGGAGCGTCTCAGGCTCCAAGGCAAATTTCCGTTGAGGAGCGCCGTGCTGGAGTCTTCAGTGTCTGGCCAGCTTCGGGTTCGCTCTTTCAACCCGAACCCGGTAGGATGAGTCGCAAGGGGCGCCCAAAAAGTTGGCACCTCGGAGAGCCCTGGAGCCTTGCCATATCTTGTCATGCCATCCTCATCGCAAGGGGCACCTGCAGCAGAGCTCTTGCGAGAAAGCATCGCATGGAGTACAAGGTCCGCTCACATGTTGGAATTCGTCTAACGCAAGTGATTTACGCAGTGGCGGAAGCTGGTTGTGAGAATCTGCCATTCCACAGGCCCTAGGCAAAGTGCTGAAGATCATGATTGGGTATTGGCCTCCTGCTCGCAAGTTTAAATGATAATTTAGATGCAGACGCTCGTTCAGTGAGAAGCAGGCTTGAACGCCCTTGCCGCTGATCACTTAGGTTAGTTAGCCATGCGCTTGGGATCGTGGTGTTTTATGTGTACTTCAAGCTGGGGCACGGCGCGATTCAGGACTGATCAGCTTAAATGTGGAAGCTCTGGTTAGGGACACATTTTTTAGGAGGCTGTCTGAGCTGCCAAGGAGAAGTTTTACAAAGAGGGCCTTCAGCCTCTTTACCATGTTGCTGTTCGGCAATGAAGCTTCAACGAGATGTCAGCTGCAGTTGTTATTCTGAGATGCGCGCGTCGACCATGAAGGCCTGCTACCTTTCTGTGTCCAGCTTTCAAAACAACGGTTTGGCCAGGTTCCAAATTCTTGCCCCCTGTGCGGCTCAAACACTCTTACCGTAAGCTTCCTGAGTCGCTGTGAACCAAGGTCATGACGCCATCTTCCGTCATGGTTGGGAGCCAAAGCAAAGTTGTAACCGACAGTAGTTTGATGGCGTGTCATGCACCGAGAAGACCTTACAATCGACAACATGCATGCTGATGAGTTTTCGGTCAAGCGGGCAGCTCTTTGCTCATCTCAATTCACACCATGATGGTCAGTCTAGGTGGAGGAAGTGTCTGGAAGACTTGCCATTTCTACTAAGGACTTCGTGCGGAGTCCGATTCTGCTTACCACAATTGGGGACTCTCAGCTTCAGTTCAGCCTAGCTTGACTCATGCGTCAGATTTCGCGCTTTCCTGCTGAGTTTCTCATCTTTTTGGGCAACACGGGGCTACCCATCATGGTGCTGCCGTCACAGCTTGCCAAAGGTTCAGTGAAGAATGCGAATATGGGTTGGACGTTTGCAAGGATCATCAAATGGACAGACCTCAGATGGCGATCTCGTAAATGAGCTACGTCCAACATGCTCGCACCTGTAGGCTATGCATGCGAGCCAAAATGGGATTTCTGGGACGGTTTTTCATCTTGGACATGAGGCGGTACACAGGAGAATCCAATGAATCACAACTGTAGTGCTAGCAAACTGCAAGGCCAGCGGAGAGATTCCTTAGAGCATCTCGATGGATCATTCTTCAAGGGATCGATGAGTTTCAGGAACTGTTGTGATGCCTTCTATGATTTGAGGCGACTTGCAAAACAAGCTCCACGGTAGAAGCTTTGCGGGAAACTGCAGTTTCAACAATGCTAGGAACATGCATTTCGGAAACAGCTCAAACCTTGCCTCTTGGACCCGCGGCTCATTCTTGCCACTTCAAAATGCTCATATTGCAAAGATTCGGATTGGTTGAGCTGGCCTCATTCATTTTGTTGTGTTAGACTTTCGAAGAGACACGCAGCTAACGACTTTTGGAATTCTTCAGCAATTGCAGTATATGAGGCACAGTGAATATTTTGTTCATCGAGAGTCAGTGTCGTTCCAGGGTGATACAGCCAAACTCATGTTGGCACTTGATTCAGTTCAAAAATGTCGCACCGGACAGTGGTGCCCAAATTCAAAACTGTCTTGTGGTAACATCGTGACTTGGGCCCTGGCACGGGCTTTCATGGTCGACCGGTAGAAGAGCCAGTCCTGACCCCAAAAAGTAAAAGTAAAGCCAAAGCCAAGCCGCAGCCCAAGCAGACAAGGTGATTCTTCAAGTGATCAAACGGCGCCTTTGCAATTGCACCCACGATCAATTCTGCTACGCGGCATTGAAAGCGCCCCAAGGGACATGGATCGTCCTTGCGCGGTCTCAGGCATGCGCGAGGTCTGACGTAAGCAGACGGAAAGTTTGCTTCCTTCCTGCGATGCACGCGGTGATACCAGTACCGGCCCAGGTATGGTAGGCCCAGGTATGGTGATGCAACCCGGAGAGGGGCAAGGATGTTAGTGGCTATGGTGTTACGGGCCAGGGGTAATACACCCCATAGATGAGGACTTTGTCCAGGCGCACACCAGACGGTTGTTGTAACAACAGGTTTTGGCCGGATGGCACCCAAGGAGGTGTCATTGTCGGAAAGCACCAACCCATTTCACCCGACGCGTCTGGCAGCGATTTTGTGCACCTCGACCACAATCCTCGGTTGCGAGGAGTCACGTCCATGGAGGACATCGGAAGCAATTTTTTTTGCTTGTAAAGCGACGGGAACGCTGAAAAGCGGCGCCCCAGATTTTGGAGGTAAAAACCTGGTAAAGCGCCGGGAAACACTGACAAGCGAAACCCCGAATTTCACACAATCACCAGTTGAACACGCAAAACCTTATGATGACATGGGTCAGTCAATGTCAAGTATGAGCAGCAGATGCAAATCAACGTCAAATGAGCGAAGCCAGTGTTTGGATTCACATTGCCAGGTGTAGATAATGCACAACACTGAGCGACGATGTAGCCGGAGAGCTCGAGCACCTCTTTTGCTTTCTGCGAGGCGAGTGGGGTGAGCCATGGACTGGACCTCCTTCATCAATTCAGTGGGGAGGAGTCTCCCGGTGAGTCTGTGGTGCAGGCGACAATCCAGTTGTTCACTGACAAGCTGAAAGCTAGCAAACCATCGATGGCAGAGGGCTTCACTAAAGCTGCGGTGGAATCAGTGCTGCCTGCGGACATTGTGGTGCAGGCCTGCTGTCGTCGTATCATCAGAGCGGTTGAGGCCGTGTCCGAGGCCAAGCAGGTCCACGCAGCGCCCCATGCAGGAGCGGCTCGGCTTTCAGCCGGTGGATTGGCCAACTTGCTCGCGCCTGTAAAGTCAGCGGATGTAGCAAGCCTGCTAAATAAAGCATCTTTGAAAGGACTCGCTTTCAGCGTGCAAGCCGAACAAGGATTGTGGAGTGCAATGCAATCTCACACTGATGAGGCCCAGGTTGCTACTGGAACCCCTTCCTTTTCGTTGATTTGACTGCTGCGCATTGCCTTCCCATGTGGCATACTCCGGACCAGATCGGGGGCAAGTTCCACTTGCGAGATGATCAAGAATGGGCGCTGCGCGGCGGCCAGACCATTACAAACCTGCAAGCCTGCAAGAACTTGGACGGGCGTTGAAGGTTTGCACGGCGTCAACCAGGTTCTTCAGGTTCGTGTCGCAGTGGAATGGAGCGTTCATGCCATATGCAATAGTGGCAGTCGCCGCAAAGCAGCTATCTTGGCCAGATGTGCTGTCGCGCGCGGACATTGTCATGCAGCTGGCGGAGCAAGAATGTCTAAAGGGCAGACCCCCTTACTTGGCTTTTGTTTATGAAGAAATTGTGAGGAAGAGCTTTGCGCGCAGAGATGAGAAGAGAGATGCAGACCTCAAAATTAGTCAGGAGATTCAGCGAGTGGACAAGGATATCTTGGGCACTGCGAGACACAGGCTGACAGACGTTCTGAAAGATACAGCCATGGATGGATATTCGGAAGCGAGCGTCTCGTGCGCTAAGTGTCGATGACTACGGAGGCCCTTCTCAACAAGCAGACGGCAGCTACCGAAGCAGCGCGTAGACAAACTGAGCAGGTGTCCAAGCAGTTGCTCGAGACCCAGCAGATGATCCTGGACAAAGGTCGAGCAGCCGCTGCTGACGGCAAGGGGGACGGACGGAAAGGAAATCCGACCAACCTCACGCCAAGCAAGAGGCAGCTGAAAACGCAAGCATGGATTGAAGAGGGCCAAGCACGGAGGAGGGCTCAAGCCGAACGCGAGGACGGCAAGAATGGGCCGTGGCACGACCGTTGGTGCTGAGGAGACACCAACGTCCATCAGGACACTGCTAGAGTGCCGCAGGTGTTTGAAGGGCTCCCCGATGCTGGGTCTGTGGTCCAGCCACGACACGGGGCTTTGGCCTTAGGGTTTGGGTCCTATCCCCTTTTGCGCTACATTCACCCTTATTTCCACCCTTACCATCTCCCTTAGAAGGGGTCTTAGGGGTTGGGGATGCAGGTGCTGCAATGGCCGCGACCTTAGCCTTCTTCCCTGCCTCTTGGCCTGAAACTGCAAGGGTCTCCATTTCAGCCAGGAGAGTGCGGGCGTAGTGTTCCACCGAGGCCATGGAGGGCTGCGCGCCCAAGGAAAGCTGCGTCCGCACTGACTGGATCCTAAAACCAAGGGCAGTGTTGCGGTTGAGGATCCCTTGGCACATCTTATCCAAGGCATCCAGGTAAGCGTGCAGTCAGGGACGGCGATGCAGGTGGCAGCCTCCGCGTTGTCTGCCTGCCCCAGACTGGTCAGGCCCCGAAGCAGGTCGGTGCGTTCCTGCAATCCATGAAAGGATCGCAGAGTCAGGAAGAGGAGCCCTGCGCAGGTTGCGTTCCTGTGCTCGTTTCTAGTATTGCCAAGGCTCTGGCCTCAAGCCTCACAAACTCCTCCCCCTGAGAGCGCCCTTGATCATTGACCTCTGCAAGGGTGGTGCGGCTGCCCATGGCTGGTAGTGACTTCGCGCTTCTGCGGTAAACAATGTCCCACCACACGTGAATTGGGGGCCAGGTCTTGAAACGCAGGCTGGGTCCTGTGCATCCAGTCAGCACACCAGCGCTGGCTGGGCCTCAGTGAGGGCCCCAAGCTGTGACAAAGCCCCGGCCGTACCTGTGGCATCTGCCTGGGCTCAACCTGTGGCATCTGCCTATCTGCCTGGCCTTGACCTGTGCACTAGTAGGCGCATCCCCTATGTTAAGCCGCCTAGGTTCCCACCCCATCCAGCACTATCACACTATCACACTATCACGCTACCACGGCTTCGGCGTCACAAGTCCCTTCCCTATGTACTCCCCCTACCCTAACCTTAACCCTTGAGGTGGCTGGGGTTGGGAGTGCTTGGGCCGCAGGAACTGCTTCCTCACACGGGGCTGCGGGGGGCGACGTGCCGCACTTCCTCGAGTGCTTCGCGGGAGATGCAGTCCTCACCGCGAGTGTAATGCTCAATGGCATGCCATGTGCCAGGCCGGTTGATGTTTGGTGTGGCCCTCAGTGTGATGTGACCGCTGAATCAATGATGCACGATCAGGGGGCGATTAAACACGGGCAGTTCGGGACACCGTGCCAGTCCTTGACGGACTTTGCCAGGGATCCACAGCTTCAATGCCACGCGTCCGCGGGGTCTACCAGATTTGCTGCCACGCCAGGAAGACTTGGTAACCGTGTGCCTGAATTTGTGGTTGGCTGGGTCGACTTTTCGGCTACAGCCTATGCGAACAATCCAGCGTGCGGTTTGCCGACTTCCTGGTCCCCTTTGCCAAGCCAACGCTGTTTCTTCACAGTGTCGCGCAGTGGCGCCTACTTCCTGCAGTGACGTTTCCATGGCCAGGTGAACTGGTTGTGCTAAGGGGTCAAGTGTCCTACGTGGGGCAGCGGGTGTTTCGAACGCATCTAGCTCAACCATACACGCCAATGCTGTATGGCACGGGGCTCGTGGGCCGTGCCGCCACAGGAGCACTGCCTGCTGCCTCGTGAGCTGCGCGAAGCGCAGTCATTCACAGATGTTGTGCCATCCTTGGGCCCTTTCATGGTCCGGTTTGGATTAGGTGCCCCTGCAGGTTTGTCTCCCGAATTGCATGTGGAGTTTGCCCGCTAGGTGCGTCATCCATCTCTGGAACCTGCGATGCTTTCAGAGCAACTGAGGGATGCTCTCAATTTCGAAGTCCGTCACACAGCCGAGGAGATTGATGCGTTTAGAGGGCAAGCTCTCATGAAAGTGTTGCGCCTGGCTTCTAGTTTGACAGGGAGCAAAAACACTGGGCCAACATGGTTTTCCAACGGTTGGTCACCTGCCTCCTTGTGAAGGGGGGGCAGTGAGGGCCCATTTTGAGGACAAGGGATCGATCCAGCAGTTGCGTAAGC